GTCAATTAATAAAAGGGGGTTTTGTCGGGACCAGGAGTTTGCTTCATGCTCTTGGGAAGTCTCGGTCAGAACAGGTTCTAATTCTGCTTCTACCATGGAGCCCCACAGAGGACTTTGGGCCAGGTTTTTCCTTTCAATTCTAAGAGTAGGGGGGATAGTGAAGGTGCTGAACTGGGAGCGGGTTCAAATTTTCCCTTGGTCACAGAAGCCAAGGGGGAAGGTGATGCATGAGAAGCTGGGAGACTTGCGTTCTAGGCCTTCCTCGGTTTCGGAAACTCACTAGTTGATTTTGGGACAGATCCCGCCCTCCTTCCCAAACTAAGAGCCAATCAGGTGTAGCAGGAGAGGGAGTGGACTAGGAATGGAGAGATCTAGGTTTTAGTCCCTCCTCTGTCCCAGAAGCTCATTGGCTGACCCCGTGCAAGTCCCACGAGTCCATCAAGTGGGAGGAGGAAAAGGCTGGATTTTGAACTGTGAGGCCTGGGTTCTATTCCTGCCTCAGTTGCTGAAGCTCATTGGTTGACATTACACCAGTCCCTCCCAGCCCAAGAGCCAATCAGGTGTAGAAGGAGCTGGATTAAGAGTGGAGGGACCTGGCTTCTAAATCCACCTCAGCTGCAGAAGCTCATTGGCTGACATTCCACCACTCACTGACTCCCTGCCCAAGGGCCAATCAGGAGTAGAAGGGGCTGCATTGAGAGTGACCTGACCTCTAAATCCGCCTCAGCTGCAGAAGCTCATTGGCTGACATTCCACCACTCCCTTCTCCCAAGAGCCAATCAATGTTGGGTGGAAGAGCCTGGACTAGGAATGGGAAGATCTGAGTTCAAGTCCCATCTCAGCTGCAGAAGCTTCTTGTCGGACATTCCAGCACTCCCTTCCCTCCCAGCCCAAGAGCCATTTAGGCGTTGGGTAGAATGAGAAGACCCAAGTTCTAATCCTCCCCCTCCTCCAGGAAAGACTCCCTAGAAGAGTGACGGCTAACCTTTGTCTCCTCACGTGCCAAAATTGCTCATGAGAGAGAGAGAGTGTGCGTGTGCCCAAACTCATAATGAATACACACCACCCATTGCCCATGCGCGCACACCCCCTGCCTCCTGTCCCCACACATGCACATGACCTCCCCCCACACACTGCCCACGTTCATGCGCACAGCAACCACTCCCACACCCCATTTTGGGCCTAGCAGGTCTCCCTGAAGCCTCCTGGCACCAAAAACAGACTGCGAGGCGGGGGGCGATGCACACAAACACCCATGCACCATTTTGGGACCAGCAGGCCTCTCTGAAACCTCTGGACCAACAATGGGGTGTAGGGAGCACCGCATCCCCCTCCCCGCACCTCTCTACACACACCGTGCATGTGCGTGCCCCCCCAGGGGTGGGTTCCTGCCAGTTCTAACCTCTTCTCTAGAAGAGGTTCCACAAATCTACAGTGCCGTTTAGAACCGGTTCCAGCTCCCTCCCCCCCGCCACCCGTCCGCACATCATCAAGATGAAGAGCGAGAGGAGGAGTTGAACTCCACAAGTCTTAAAGCTGTCAAGTTTGAACACCCTTGGCGGTTTTTTCTAAAGGG